TATCGTCTGGTTGTATGAATCCTAGGCTGTTGTCCTGCCTGTGCCCCTGACGGACTGTCTGCCCTGTACTTCGTTTAAAAAGCGATAGGAAGTCCGTACCGACCAAAAGTAAGTATACGTAACTATCCAGAAGACGAAGATAAGATAACTATGTGCTTATGCAGGTAACTCGTTAGTTAGATAGATAGTGATGCCCCTGGCCCCCTGAAGTAAACCCCGGACTTCCCTGTCTAAGCGTGTTGAAGCTCTTCAAGAACCAACAAGATATGCGCAGAATCCCAGTAATAAGAAGAAAAGAAAGGAAAAAAGATATGTAGATAGGGACACAAGAAAACCATGCAAAGTACAGCATGCATGGGAGGGGTGGGAGAAGAGAGGGAAAAAATGGAGGAAAGGAAAAGGCATGTCCTGTTTGGCTTGCTGTCTAGTTACGGTCAATCATGTGCGCTCTGGCCGGGCCAGTCCCGATCCATTTGATAGGGACGCCGCCGAGGGAACGCTCGATGTATTCGACGTATTTCTGTGCATTGGCGGGGAGGTCCTCCCATCTGGAGACGCCCATGGTATTTGACTTCCATCCGGGCAGGGTCTCGTAGACAACTTCGACCTTCTCCAGGGCATCCGAGCTGGCAGGGAAGGATTCGAGCTCCCTGCCGTCAATCTTGTAGGCGACAGCAACCTTGATCTCGTCAAAGTCGTCCAGGATGTCCAGCTTGGTCAGGTTGAGGGCGGTATAGTGGTTGATTCTGGTGCTGTAGCGCAGCAGGACCATGTCCAGCCAGCCACAACGTCTCTTACGGCCGGTAGTGACACCGAACTCGCGGCCGGCCACCTGTAGCTTCTCACCGATCTCGTTGAGCTGTTCGGTTGGGAAGGGCCCGGAGCCCACGCGGGTGCAGTAGGCCTTGACGACGCCGACGATAGACTTGATGGAGGTCGGGTTCAGACATATTCCCTGGATTGCTCCGCCGAGGCCGGTGCAGGAAGACGTCACGAAGGGGTAGGTGCCGTAGTCGATGTCGAGCATGAGAGCGTTGGCGCCCTCGACGAGTATGGAGGCAGACTCATCCTCGAACTTCTTGAGCAATGTCAATTGGTCGACCACATGCGGTTGCAGAAGGCTTCGATATTCCTGCTCCTATCGTTAGTCATGGGATTCCAAGCTGTAGAAACTAATGCTAGTGAAGAATACCTTGAATTTGGCAATCTCCTCTTCGACGTTATAGTCCAGCTCTCCGAACCGTCTCCGGTAGCCGGCTTCGAGGCTCCTCAGCTTGGATTCCAGCACACCCTCGTCCAGGATGTCGCCGACCCTGACACCCCGCCGGGCGGCCTTGTCGCTGTAGCATGGCCCAATTCCTTTGCCTGTGGTCCCTACCTTTCGAGTGCCGAGCCCGGCTTCTTCCAGGCCGTCGACCACAGCATGGAGATCGAAGCAGACCTGTGCCCGGTCGCTGATAAACACCCGCTCCCGGACGTTCTTCAGCCCCTTGCCGTCGAGCGAGGCGAGCTCCTTGAAGAAGCTGGGCAGATGGACGACCGTCCCGGCGCCGATCAGGTTGACGCACGTCGGCGAGATGAGACCGGAGGGCAGGATATGGAAGTCGTAGGTGATATCGTCGTGCACAATCGTGTGTCCGGCATCTGTTCGTAGTTTTCAGCGTCCTGGTCAGCCGCAAGTACAGCGAATATCTAGCGGGCAAGGTGGGATGGCCACTCACTATGGCCGCCAGCAGAGCGACAGCAGAGCTCCGCCGTTTGCGAGAGCAGATCCGTGATCTTTCCTTTGCCTGTAGATCCGCCGACTGTCAGCTTCTTCTTCTTCTTCTTCTTCTCTTCTGTATCTATCCTGCGCGGTTGAGTCACGGCAGCGATCTAGAGCCAGAGAGACGCACCTTCGTCCCCCCATTGGGAGCCCAGCACAATCGTGACCATCTTGCAGCCGGAGCGGGCAGGCGAGGCAGCGCTTTGCGAGTCGTTCCAGAGACACAGCAGACCAGCAAGGCCAGGTAGGGCGATGATAATTCAGACGGAGGACGCAAAGAGTTGACCTTCTCTTTTCTCTGGTGGGATGAAAAAAGAAACGAAGCAAAAAGGAAGTTTTGCGCTTTTTCGCCGACTTCCGGAGCCAAGCCGAGATCGAGGA